CAATCTCAAGTCTAAATTGACACAGTCAACTTTGGAAAAAATAAATAAAACAGACTCAGCTGACATAGTATTAATTTCAGAAAATTACACCGGTTACGGTATCTTATACAACAAATGAAAAACACCACCTAAAAAAAACTATGTACAAAATATTTATATAACTTTGACCTTATATAATCAAAAGTAATAAATAATTTTTGATTATGACTACAAAATTAGATTGTACACAAAGTTTCAACATAACTGCATATAAATGTTAGTATGTATAACACTAAATATACAACTCGTTGAAATTATAAATTTTTTCAAATCAATCCAGCTAACAGTTTGCTCATAGAATTGAGAAATTCGAATAAAATTACTGAAACTAAAATAACTAATAATTTAGCATAATAGATACTGAGCGAAGCAATGAATATATTTATTTAACAATTATGTCTGTTTTTGTATTAACATTTTTTTTTGTATCTGTCGTCGCCTTCTTTCTGGGCAATAAAATGCTTCGATTTTCTATTTCGCCATCTTTTCTGGTTGGAAAGTTAATGTGATTGGTACTTTAAGGGATCACAGTAAAAACTTAGGTGTAACTCAAAAAACTAATAACTGTAGATACTTTAAAGTGTCACCAAATGAATACATGAAAATTGTCCGTACATGATAAAGTCTTCAAAATATTTTGATTATTTTTGAGCTGTCTAAAGCCATAACACATTTTTGATTTTTTTCACTATTATTTTCGGCAAATTAATTTTTGAAAAATACTTTAAAATTTAATACAAGGTCCTTCAGTGGTTTTTATTAATATAAATTAACAAAATATTGAGTGTAAATCCACAATCTTTTTTAGGAGTCTGAAGTTTTAAAATATTAACAATTTTATCAAAATAGTGTAGGTATATTTTTAAATAATTTTGTAATAAATTAATGATTTTCTTATTTTGTTGTAATCCAAAAAAGGGGCAGCCGTATATACTTGAACATTTCAAAAAATATTTATATTATTGTCATTTTTTCCATGATCCAATTTTGAAAATATTTTATATCTTTCTGAGTTATTTTAAGACACACAAGATTTCAAATTTTTTAGCTTTTTAGGTTTTCAGTTCAAATTTGGACTACATTAGATATTTCCAACAAAGAATAACGATTTTAATTTTTGTAATAAAAAAAATATTATTTATAGGTATAATATAAAACTTTTAAAGTTTATAATTTTAAAATATTATAAACGCAATGATATTTTCAAATGCAGTTTTCTTGGAAATAATTAATTCAGCCTACTGTATTACTTATAATACAATAAATTACTTTAATAGAAATAATATTATAAAATATGCTTAGTAGCATGTTGAAAAACTCTTCGCATAGAATTGTGAATTGAATTCAAATTTAAGACATCTATTATTAATATTACCATTATAGACACATAATGTACAGTAGCTTGGTTCCCACTTGCTTACCTCTTTTAGTATGATTTTTTATTTTGTATATAGTACCTAGCGTAAAATCTCTTGATACTCAAATTTTTATATTTTGTATTATTTTAAATTTAAATTTTATCATACAACTATATTTCGTATTATATATAATGTGAGCCTCTACACTAAACATGTTTGATGACACTATTATTATCTACTCGGAGAAATAAATCAATAATAACGTTGCTTACACGATAAATAAGTATTTTATCTCGATTTTCTTAAGGCTAAGTAAAGAAAACAGTATTTAATTTTTAAGTTACAGTTTAAAGAAAAATTTTTTTTTCATACAATTATAAACTATAGACAATTTTGAGATAAAATTCAATTCTCGAAAATTATAAAAAAAAAATCATGCTAATATTAGTTTTTAATACGAGAAAGAATAGAAAAGAAGTTAAAATGAATAGTTAAAGTTTACTTTGTTTCCATAATTCATTATTAAAGTACCTTCTAGAGTTCTAGAGCAATTGAAGAAATAAATCTCCCATGAAAAAGAAACCATTTGTTGTACAACATACGTATTATATATTATTATGTTCTGTGGAAGAAATAAGTCTTTACACAATACAATTGCGTCATGCTAGTTTAAAAGTACGGGGTGGTCATGTCAGTGTATTTAATAATAAATATAAATGAATAATTAATACAATTATATAATTAAATCAAGACTTTTTAAATACCTATAAAATATTTACTTAATTTAAATTACCATTTGTTTTATTGAGATGAATGATTATGAAAATTATGATTTTTAATCTATGAGTTTAGTTAATAAATTATCATTTAAGTTTGACAGTGATTTAATAATTATTTAACAGTTAAATTATTCATAAAAATCGATTAAATCTGACGATAGTCATAGTTTCTTAATTATTTTTTTTTCATGTAACTCAAATGTAGATTATTGATTCTAATTTTTATTTATTTTCGTTAAACAAAACTATGAATTAGAGACTCAGTTTACCACTCAATATAAGAGTACCTATCATATATTATGCATCTAAACATATACAATATTAAGTGATTTCCTGTTTCCGGAGTATTTGAAACTACTTTTTAAAGACTTTTCTGGCTTTAAACTACTTTAGTTTCTTATCCACATCGATAAAAATGCATCAATTTTTTTTTATAATCCAATATCCTTATAAAAAGACACGAATTTTCATGATTTAAGTCAGTGTCCTGTTTACTTCAGACTTAAATGCACACAAGACATAAGAGTGTTTTATTTGTTACAAAATTCACTGAATTCATTATTTTCTTTCAACCCTAATATCTGTGCTGAATTTTCTGAAACCTTATTAAACTGAAAAAGAAAAAATACATTTTTAAATCGTGAATATAGATTGTATTATCATTGTTTTCTTTCTAATAGACATTAAGCGTTAATAAATTACCTTGACCTATATACTAATAATATAGAGGATACTAATTTAACAAGGTATCGATTTATTATATTATTTAGAGATTTCAAATAGATTCAAATTTATCACATAGCATCAGTATACCGTCTTATTATCCATCACTTTATACACTTTTTATTCAGCATTTTATTAAGTATTATTGGTAAGTAACTAACTTAAATACAACATTTTTTCTTACTTATTTAAGTTACAAATAACTTATGTATAATATAATATTTAAATTAAAATAATTTTTTTTTTTGAAAATATATTTTAATTAATATTAATTATTATACATTTGTTTACTACATTTTAAGTTGAAATACAGAGTAAATTACAATATTATAATAACAATAATATGTACCTGAAGGTATTACAATATTGTTCAAACTATATTTCTTAAATGTACAAAGTGACATACTATATAAATATAATAAAGGTATATTTAACTATTATAATGTTAATCCTTATGCCTACTAGATATTTTAGTGAAATAACTTTCAAATTCAATTGATTTTTTATGAAGTGAGACGCATAATAATATACATTTTTAACAGGGTTGAAATTCCCCAAAGTAAATGATGCCACATAAAATCTTAATAGGTATTTGATAAGAATTTTAACTTTCCGTTTTTTTTATCCGTGGACTGTGACTAGTGGCATAAAAAATGGTTTTTGTACGCATGAATGTATCCACCATGAGTGGTGAATGTTGTAAAAAGTTTTTAACAAAACCAATTCAAATTGAAGGACCATCCGCAATAATATTTAGAGAAACCATTGATTTTAGACAATAGATGATAAACTTTTATTATTCATTTTTATCTAAATTCATCTAAAATAATTGATTTTTCTGAACTTAGTACCTATAGTCACGTATTTATTTATAGTGTGATAAAATTATTTTTAATCATAAACATTTGATTTATGTAATTATATTCATTTATTAAAAAGAAAATATTTCAATACAATTAAAAATACAATTTTAGACCACCTTTAAAATAAGAATAGAAGTTTTTAATTGTTTAATACTCTGAGTGGAGAGATGAATGCATTGATTTTACAATGCTGATTCATATTATAGTAGAAAAAAATTGATTTTACCATCAACATACGGGCAATTCTTTTATAGATATTTTGTTAAATTTTGAAGAATTTGGATATTTAAACGAAAAATAACGTTTTAAGATATTTTGGTATAATTCAAAAAATATTTTTCTTTAAGACTTGAATTTTTTTTCCTTTGCAAATGATATTGTTAACCATATGTAATGGTCAATAAAATTATCAAAATATTATTTCAACCTAAGTACCGTGTTACTAACACAATACTATAAAGCATAAAATATCTTTAAAAATATTAACAGACATGCGGTCTCCGCTTATAATTGTTTTTTGTATACAATGATATTAAATTCAAATTGACGTACGTAGTGACCTACTCAATGGCTTAAAATACAACAAAACGAGTAACCTGTTTTTTTTTAAAAATTATTATTAACATATTATAATGTAATTTGTACTCCGTGGCATTGGTAGGCACTACAAACAAATTTAAAGACAACCTATTTTAGCCATTGAAAGAAAGTTACAATTAAAAATATAATAAATGCATAAATTTAATAAATTTAAATAATATCAATGTAAATATTGGTTATTGTCTGTGAAATATATTTTACCCCTTTAAAAACTTCATCAAATTGCTATAGGCCATTTATAATTGATTATTTTCAAAATATGAATTCAAATACTTTGATTTTCAGACAAAAAAACACACACACGCACCATAATTGTAATACATTCATACAGCTCCGCTTACAATCTTAAATTATAATTTACTATTACCTATATTATAATGTTGCTTATTTAATAACAAAATATTGAACGAAAGTATAAGTATAACAAAAAAATTTTAAATTTAATACTTATTATTAGTTACACAGTTAACTTTAAAATATAAATTATTACTTACATAAGCTTTTCATTACTTTTAATTATCAATAGATAATAAAATATTCACATTTCCAGGATAAATAATTAAAGTTTATGATAAAATTAAAAGTATAAATAATATTTATTATAGAATATATTGTCAAATAGTAAATTATATACTCACTAAAACTGGCTTCTCCCATATCACCGATCATCACGTCAGACTCTGTAAAATAATGCATCACGTTTTAAAGTTTTAATAATGGTTTAGAGTAAATAATATTATACATTACTCAAATATTATAAATTATAATACGAATAAAAAATCAGCTAACATTACGTGATTTCATCTTTAAAAAATAAAACAGAGAATAGCCACTTAGCTGTATAGTAAGTTTCGAGTGTTCTTCGCGAATGTTTAGGTCGCTGTAGTAGATGAGTTAAGTATTTTAAATTTTTATTCAATGATTAACCATTACATATGAAAAAACAATTTTGTTCTGACTATCTGAGACGGTGTTTTAACCTCTCCTAAAAGGATATTTTATAATGTATTTATATTACTAGAGTATTCTTGATTATGCTACTGTTGAACATGATGCTGCTCGGATTAAAACAAATATTTTAACCTAGTTATTAAATGAATTATAGTAATAGACTCATATACTAAATTTCAGTTTTAGTTAAATTGTGTGAATGTATATTTGTAATACTATAATAATATAATTCCCTAGGATTAAGAAACTATAATATAGTTAATACGAGTGAATACATTTTTGTTAACTCTCTGTAGCTCATTTACTCCAACTAAAGCTATGCTTAATGGAGTAAACCAATCAACATTTTTTATAGCATAATATATAAATTCATCAACATTCTGATAATAGAATACAAATTTGATATCTAATAAAGAAAAAAAAATTGCAAGTAGTGTATTTTTCTATTAATAAATCACCATGCTTTAACTCCCATGATTAAATTTATTTAAAGATTTGAAATTGGAAAAAAATGAAACTAAAAACTCATATTATAGTATAACATTATAATGGTTATTAAAATATTATATTATATTATTGTTATTCACTTATAAGTTAACACCGACATGCCAACAGTTTCAATAAATGTATGGTATAAATGGCACAAATTAGTCCAAATATTTTTAAAATTGAAATAGGTATGCATAGAGAATAATAATTTAAGAAATATAAGAATATTTCAAGTTTCTACGATCAATATATTGTTAGTAAATAAACCCCAAAACAATAACGATTTTTTGTGGAGAAACTGTTACAGTACGCGTGGGTGTGAGTATCCAATCTTTCTACATTTTAACTTCAACAGCTGATAAAAATTTACTTTACTTTAAGTTGAAGATTTTTTTTTTTCAATGAAAACATATTTATAGAATATTTTCTTAAACATTCAAATTTAGGAAATTAAATTAAAAATTAAATTTGAACTTTAAACTTTGAACAAACATAAAAAAAATTACAAATATGTATTTTGATATTTTTTAAATTCCTGTAAGAAATATGAGTAATATGAGTTATTAGGAACCTTACATTAAATTTTCAAGATTTTCAGCTTAGAAAAAAAATATTGTTGCCATCAAAAATCAAAACATTTTAAATTTAAAATACTGTAATACAGCAAAATAGGTCAAATACAGATTTTCTGTTATTTGTTTTAGTTTTTCCAAATTACTAAGAAGAGCACTGGGTATTTTTTTACTTTTGACCTCTTTCCCCTCGCCCGCTACCAATGTACAAAATACAAGCTGTATCCAATTTGCTACCAGAAAAACACACATCGCATTGTAAAACAAATACACTTGTCGCTCTGTTCAGTTTAAAATGTGATCGATAATAATGGACCACACTACGGACAAATTCTAATCACTAATGGTAAATACAGCGTATACTACCAATAAGTTTTATTTCTCTAATTGAGTTATATGTATATAATAATGTATTTAATCATTTGTATATTTATCCTGTTTTTAATTCTGAACAATATTGCCAAGGAGTTTGCATTAATTTGTTTTAGACAATTTTACTGAGGATATTTTAACCTAGATTCAAAATATATATGGATAACAGTTATTTTTACGTGAAACCTGATTAGTGATATCTGTGGGTAGGTGTTATAAGTTTTTGCTTATATTTTTGTTTTTATACACAATGACAGTTTAAAATTATTTTAATTAATTTTAAGGTATTTCCTATGTATCACGAACATATTTATACTGTTCTGCGGCAGGTCCTTACTGACTAAAAAGTTAAGCGGTTTAGCGGTCTATGTTCCCTCAGAATATTTTTTCATGTTTAGATTCATCGTTAAATTTAAATTAAATACATACATTACAGTACCAACTCAATAAAGAGGTTCAATTGACAACTACTATACTATGGTGAGTTCCCTGATTTTATTTATTAACATTATCATAATGACATTTTAGAAAAATAATACATTTTACATTTTACATTTACCCGTTTACTACTTATTATTAGAATTTATTAGACATATTAGTCTTTTCCCACTATTGTTTTTGCACCTATTACCTGTATTACTTAAAATAATACATTTTAAAATTCTTTAACCGTGATTTTTACTTTTTTAGACAGCCAAACATTAAAATTGCCTTTTGTTTAATTCTATTTTCACTCAAAATCATTTCACTACAAATTCAATAATTTGATAAAAATAGTTATAATCCATCGTTATCCCGTGTGTAGTTATCATTTTTACCTGTTTTGGGTTTTCTAATTTGGAAATTATTTTTTAATTCGTATACTGCAATAGGTATGACATATTGTTATAGAATATTGTTTACCAACATTTTTCATTTCACTTATTTTTGTGTGTACCTAAGAATGAGAAGAAAGATATTCATCATGCCCTGCTAAAGCTTGGAAAGGTCATTTCAACTTCGTAAATTTTTAATAATATAAAGGAAAACAATTTTTATACAACCATCAGTAGTCGGAGGCCATTATATTTACTGCCATGGTATCATAAAACAATTTTATTTTTAAATTAATTTTGGTTTATGAAAATCATAATTTATATTATCTTCCAACGATTAAAACACGAGTTTAAATAACAGACTTATTGTTCACCGTAATATTTCTATTCTCACAGTAAGTTTACGGTGGAGATTATTAGTCAATATAATTTCCAATTAAAAATAAAATTAACTCTGGAAAACAATAAATTCTATTTTTATGCTATTAGTAGGCACTGTGGAGGGGGGGGGGTGGTTTCAAACGGTAGGCACTTGATCTTTATACTTTTATTATTAATTTAAAATTGGTTTCATTTTTATATTTTACAGTATACTTTATTATTTACTGAATGTTTAAATTCAATATACAATATATTAATGGATTAACACAGTGCTCTCAACCTGGATATGATCAGCATATGATAAAACCTTAAACGTTTGCAATATGACATGTATACATAAAAAAATAGTCTTAAACGTTACGAAAATATTGAATATCATTACTTTAAGAATGATGAAAATCGATATAATTAAAAATACGTCACTTTCAGTTTTTACGAAATATTTTTTAAATCTTAATTTACCACCGTTCACGTTACTAAAACAACTGTTTCAGTCTTTAATAAAAATTATTTAAAACAAGCATTTGAAAACCACTATTTTTACTACAATACAATGATTTATAACTCCAAATACATTATACTGAATATTTAGATAATTTTTCAATTTAATTTTGAATTCAGAGACAGTAAATAACATCATAAAGTTAACATTAGTCAGGTGAATATTAGAATGCCATATATGTTGCATATTGTGACTTTTTTAAAAACCATTTCCTATCTTCTAATTACACATGTATAACACTTATGTATAATATTTTAAACTAAGTTTTGAAGATTTTGTTTTATTATATTTTCTATGTTATATCTAATTGAATTATTTTTTTTTATATATCTACAAAATATTCGTTTATTTTCACACATCATTTCAAGTACAAATGTTAATTGATTTTTGAAATTGTTATTATAAAACTAATTAAGAAATTCATTTTTGTCTCAGTACAATCTACGAATATGTGCATTAATTTGTTTTTAAAAATTTAGTGAGTCATTATAAATAATTTGCTCTCATTATGACCTTATTTATAGAACTCAATATTTATATTATTAATGGTGTATTTTAATTTCTCTAACTACCAGATGATGTATCTACTCGAATTAATTGTTATTAAATATTTATCAGTAGGTAAGAAGTTACATTTCTACCAAATCAATAACGCATTTCACAATTACAGTTTAATATGAATCTCGTAATTTTGTTTGAGTAACTTCAACTTACTATATAAAATTTTGAGATTTCAATTACTGATTTTCAAAACATCGACATACCATACTTCTTTAGTATCTATAAATTTCCATTTTGAATTTCGAATTATTTTATAATAAATATATTATAATTAATATTTATTTTCGACTCTCAAACCATACGAATTAAATTATTGAAAGAATGGAATTATATTTCAAATAAAACAATAATACATATTAAATTAAACTTACACATACCTTATAATATTTCTGTTAAAAATATGAATATATTTTATATCTACAGAGTAGATGAATTCAATCTTCTATATTTCTATAACACGTAGAAATGAATATTTACAATTTTGACAACCAATTCATTATATACGCATCAATCACAATGAAAAAAAGATAAAAGAAAATAACCTTTCAGTAAAATATATTGAGATTTATTTTTCTTGACAATCATTGTGTTATTCTATCACAGTTCTAAATACTTACAATTTTCAAGACTAGACTGACGTGGCATTCACTTATAAGTTATATTTTTATTTTAAGTCTATTTTATCTTTTGTCAATTTGACTGACGAACCAATAGCATAAGTATGGCTAAAGATGTGAACACAAACATCTGGACAATTCTCAAATAAATAGTAAATGACAAATGACATTCATCAAATTAGCAACAAACGACCATTAAAAAAAAAATGAATTTGATTTTTTTTTTTAAAGCATACTATTTAAATTCTTAAAATATATTGTAAGGATAAATTAAATATAATATTTAATGAAATACAAATTACCATAGTCAAATATTTTATTTTTACAGAATAAAAATATTATTTGTTATTAATATTTTCAACTAAATAATAATATTGAAAATAGTTACCCTTGTTTCAGTGATTTCCAGTGATATTTTCATTAAAAATAAAAATTGATCTCGTGATAGTAGGTACGATATTTGATTGTCGTATAAGACATAAACACAAACTTTTTTCAAAAAATGTTTTCAGAACCCTCAATAAAAATTAACTGTACATTTCAAGTTGGAATATATTTTACAGCCTAAACAACACAAATATACATTCTATAAGCTTAATAACAAACATAAAATAATCATTCTATAATGACTAGTTATTTGTTAATAAATTATAAACAAACCAAAATAACAAAAGTTTAGATTCAAAGAGCATTTAAAATTTCAATATAGTAGTTTTAATATACATCTAACCTAAATTGACTTTTTATTCTTAATAATTATGATAATTGTTCAGTAGAATGCACGTAAATTTTGTTTAATGCCAATCGCCATACATAATGTTCCAAGTATGAAGTATCAATAACTGTATAATCATTAAGTAGAAGTTAGTTTCAAGTATTTTGACTGAACTAAAGATCTTCTATTCTGGTACACTACTCAATTTCATTATACGTTATGAAGTTCCGCTTCAAATTCACTGATGCAAGCTTTGGCAACCTCAATTAAAGCATTGGTTCAGTAATCTAAACAAATAAACTAGACTTTTGAGGTCAAATAGGATGGTTTTCCATAGGTATGTGTATGTACAAATGTACAATATAATCATTAATCATACTATCTTTCTTAAATACAACTTGACGTAACTTTAAGTAGGTAAAACTATTTATAATTTTGGAATTTCTGGGAAATGATTTTCGAATTAAAATTTGCTAAAAATGTATAGGTGTTCTTACTTAAAATGTCGTCTAAAATTGTATTATTTTATCCAAACCTCTCTCAATTTTAAATGCTCCAAAAGTTAATGACATTATGACAAGACACAAAAATTAAATTTATAAAAAAAGAAAAGAAAAACCAATGTACGAGAGTAAACTCAGTATTAGCTATTTAATTATACGTTCCCTTTAGAATCTAAAATAGATACCATATACGTATTATGTATATGTTACGGTAAATGATGTTATATCGGAAATTAACGTTATTCGCCGGTTATTTACCTACGAAAGTGGGAATTATCGTTATTTTCTAGTGAATAACGTTAATAACCGTATGATTTGGGAAATGTTGATTTTATTTTAAAATAATGTCCAACGAGCAATGATAAAGGTTAGGTTTATCTAATTTTTATCTATTGATACCGATCAAACGAAATTGCTTCCTATTTGAATGATATTAAACAAGAAGCAAAATCAATAAAATCAATTCATATTTATTTGTTTTAAACATTTTTTGGATGCCTAAAAATGTTTAACAAAACCTCAAAAAATCAATAATTCTAATCAATATTGGTTTGCTATATGTGACGCTCCTGCACATATATGTAATTATAATAATATATTCAAAATCAACCAAAAAATTTGAAATATTTTTTTAATGAAGCACACATAATGATTGCCGTAAATAAATTATCTTGTAAAAAAACTCATAGTATTAAACGAAGAAATTTTTTTTTTCGATGAAAAACCTGGTGATGAAATCATATTTTTCCATGAGGACAAAATTAAGAACGAAACATTTATTCTTAAAATGGGGCGTTAGTTGCTAAACTAAATAAAACCAAAGTGACACACAAAGAGTTGTTATGTCACAAATTTTAATATTTTGTCTAGCATAAAAAGTATAAAATCAATTAACCACAAATATGCCTAAAAAAGTATTGAAGCTGGGAGCTAGTGAATATTTACAAAGGATTTAAAGTAGAATTTAGTTGGAAATCGATCAATGCAATCATTTTTTTTTTTAGTGAAACAAAATTACCAAAATACCTCAATAATACACCCTAAAGAATAACATTTTTTCCAAAAAATCGTTATTTTTTTATTAATATAAAAAAATTTTCAACGTTTAAACTTGGAATATCATTTAATAAAATCTTACATTAGTATTTAAAGGTTAATAGTCCATAAATCAAAAAAACTGAGAAATCAAAACTTACAAATGAATAAAAAATAAAACAAAAAATCTTAAATATTTTGTAATTGCTAATATATATATTTGGTAAAAATTCAAATTTCAATAAAAATTAGTTTATAAATTACAGAGAAAATATAAAATTGATTTTATCAAAATCTAGTTTTGCGCAAGAATACCCGTTTTTCCATATTATTATTTTTCCCCGATTATTTTGAAAAGTATTGGGAATTTTTACATTCAATATCCCAAAGTACCAACTAGATCCAATTTGATACCAGAAACCACTCTCGAAATTGAAGATTGAGTCATTTTTTCTACTTTGAACGTGTATTCAAACACAAAAAAATACGCATTATTGTAAAATCAATACATTCATCGCTCCACTCAGAGTATAAAATATGATCAATGGACAATGACCATGTATTGAAAATAAAATTAACCATTGTTTTTAGTAGGTCACTTGGGTTAGATTTGTTAAATTTACGTTTTAGTTTTTAATTTTAAAGTGAAGTATCATAGTGTTCGAATAACCATTCTGAGTAAGGTTCATTATAAATAAAGAAACCGCATTTTGGGTCAAAATATGCATAAGTTTGTAAAAAAAAGGGTTAATGTTTTTTTAATTGTATATAGAGATAGTCATAATATTTCTTAAACAATCTCTAATGAAAATGTCATGTATTAGTTTCAAATTTCTATTCATGAAAATTTAATTTAAATTACATTTTTATAGCGTAAACCTCTGTATTTTTAAGAACGCTTTTATTCCTTAGACTATTTTAAATGTTATATACTGAATATAATTTCTTATTGATTTAATACAAGTTATACACCTATATAGTTACACATTCAATTAGATATAAGTAAATGTTTTTTACCTTACAAAGTGTTTCCGAGAAGTATTGTAATATGAGTAATACCTCTATCTTATAAAACCATACCAAAAAGCAAGAATCATATAAAATGTACTTTTTAATACAAGTAATGAAAATACATTAATTTATTGTTTTACGACGTATATTTAGTGATTCTTATAATGTCATACTCCGTTATGGTATTTAAATTGTATAATTAAATATTAATAATTTATCAAAAAATGTATCAAATAATTTAACTAAGGTCCCAATCACAAATTTATGAACACGAAAGTAACATAAAAATAGCCTTATATTATATTATGTGTTAACCTGGAGTGTGTTTGATCTTGGTTGGTTATTTGTTTTTCTTATTAATTAAGCAGCAAACAAACTTGTAACCAAATAATTACGTCTTTATTAGATAAGACAGAATTATTACAGGGAAAATATTTATTTATTTATTACTAAATGTTAAGAAGATAAATAGATTAGTAATGGTACAATTACAAAGTATTAAAGTTTTTAGTTACTAGTTACGTTGGAGTTCAAGATCATCATTTTTTTGTGTGGATTCCGAGTGAAGCCAGCAAAATGTTAGTTTAACAATTGTCTGTGATATAGTGTTCTCAGTAAACACATTTTGGGTCAGTAAAAATCTCATAAAAATTAATACTGCACTTTTATTGATTGAAAATTAAATACATAATAATGTACTTTAATGAAATCATTTTTGGAATTGCTTGGTAGTGTTTTTGATGGCATTTGAAATCAACAAACAATAGACGAATAAACGGAAGCAAGCATCCGTCTTTAATAGAGTTTTAAGAATTTTTGTTCAAAGTTGTATGCAATCATTCAAAATGGTTTTTCGAATTCAATTACCTAGTATTATTTCTATGTTAAATTATAAGACACCCGTCGCACTGAACAGCAGGAGTTGGGGGGATCCTAGTCCAGCAACTCACCTTGTATCTTGCATATGGTGTTTGATATATATTTTTTTATTAGTATAGAATACTATGAATATTCATACAGAATCAAAATATATTGAAACTTTTAGAATTATTTTTTCCACTTTTTAATTTTTTAACATGTTCATATTTATTATTATAATGAAAATGCTATTTTTAATTAATTCTTTAAGGAAAATAAGCTGAAATAATATTTTTATATAAATATTGGTACCTATGTTTTTAAATAATCCCAATAAAACCATGTTTTAGGTTAAAAACAATATATTTATTTAAAAACAGTATTTTTCGATGACTTTTTTCGTCAATGACATGACTCATGACGCCATGAATATTAATTTGTTTTTTCTATATTATTTGGGAATTGTCTTTAGTTTGCTGTTGTTATTAGTTTTTACATTGTTACATTTTTCATTATTAAAAACAAAGTAAATAAGTAGGTAGGTATAACCGTTGTATTATTAATTTATAATTTTAAAACACCAATAACGGACAATTATTTTGTTAAATATGTTTTTAATTATTCAGGAAAATTTTGGACTGCTTTCGAAACTAAGTAGACAATATTAAATTCCAAATTTCTAAATATAGTTAGTTGGTATTAACGTTTGTGAACCGACATCCTACAGTCTATATCAACGATACTAAAATGATAATTATTACCCGAGTCACTGAGAGCTAGTAATAAATTTAAGTTAAGATTCCTTATTTTATAAATTTGTATTAAATGTAATCACTACAAAATCATCATGTCATAAATTATTAAATTATAAATATTTAATTTTGATTTAAATTCTAAAATGATAATTTATATCATACATATAATAATGTATTCATTTAAAATATTGGTTGTTTTACTACTCACCAAAAACAGTGAGATTCACCAAGAACTTAATTTTTGGCTCAGTGTTTACTTGGCATTCATAAGAACCCATGTCTTTAGGAGATACATCTTTGATCTGCAAATTCCAAATAGCCGAATCTCTCAGAGGATGTTGAATCCCAAACCGACCATCATTAGTAAACAAATGTGGTCCAGAAGTAAGTATATGTAAGTCACGCATTCTAATCCATGACAAAACCTAAAATGTTTAAAAAAAAATTAGATAGTTAAAACTAATACAATTTTTTTTTTTATTTTTTTATAATTAAATTCCAAATATTTAAACAGTTTGACTCTAGATTTGCAATAAATATTTATTTTTTATACAATTTAATACCTGCAAAAAAAAATTTAAGTACTTACTCACTTTTTATTCAAACCTAAAATGGCATTCTTGCATAAAATATTTTAAAGGCTAACTATAAATAGCGTAAAAACTTCTAGCCATACTTTTTTGCAGAAAAGTAGGTCTCAAACCGCAAGAACTATTTATTATTGTGTAATTGTTTTTTAAATAATAATTATATTTATTTTTCTCGCATAGATACAATTTCTTTGAATGCGTGCACTAATACTTCGTAATATAATTTCAACTATAGTAAGTAATAAAGAACTTACATCCTTAATATAGTTTAGTTTTACTAGGTATCTGAAATCGATAAGACTATAAACTAAAAAGTTCAAATAAAGGAAACACATTTCATAAAAAAAAAATGTATTGAATAAAAAATAATTGTGTAACTGATTAATATTCTTATGAAGTTTTCAACTTCCGAGGTAATAAAATAAACTATTCGATTTGCATACCTTTATAAAATACAAATTTGATCAAATGTGTATTTTATACATGAATAAAAATATCTCATTGCTCAAGAATTTATCAACCATACAACACAAGTATCATAAATTTTAAAGTGCTGTCATCGTACAGGGATCAAGTTTTTTTATAAAAATAAATCAAGCCACCGTTTGAACTGGTACACGAAAATCGGATATGAAAAACGAATTTTATGTTTCTCAAATTACTTTAAAAGTTTCGAGTAGAAATATCCAATCACAAAGCTATTCAAAAATTTAATTTAAATCACATATCGTGCCACCATTTCATATACATTTGGTCGGCCTCCTAATATAGAAATGTTTTCGTTTTGTGTTTCAGTATAAAGATCCATTCATTTTCACATAAAACTCCGATAAATCTTACTGAGCATAAAGTGTTGCGGGTAAATGTTTGTACGGTTGAAATAAAGGAGACAGATTAGCTACGACAGGGTAAAGGCCGTACCAAATAATTCACACATTATGTTACACGATGTGTAAAAATATTGCCTAATATAAACCACCTCTTTCTTGTTTTGGACGAATGCCTGCAAAATGAAATCTACAACAGCATATTCAATATTCAAAAAAAAAGTACAGAACAATATTATTCTGTCGAGAAGTTGATCAAAATATTTGCATAAATAAAATAAAACAGCACATTCACATGACAAATCTTATAGTAAACTTGGTTTAAGTAAAGATTTTAAAAATGTAAGTCTTAAAACTATCTTCTATTTTATGCAAATTGCAAAATGTGTATACAACAGTGAACAGTCAATATTAGAAACTGTATAGTACGTATTTGAAGAAAGAATAATACAAGTTACACAATTAAATATTGATATTCATGGACTTAGAATTTGCTAAAAAAAATTTACATTTAGAAAATACCTATTTTGTTTATCTGAAGTTTGTTTTAATTTTTGAATTATGTGAATACCCCGATGTTTTATTTAAAACTTATACTTTATTTTTTTTTTTTAAAGAGTGCTTAGTTAGTAGTAAAACGCATTTAAGAAATATAATATGATTTTTAAATACTCATACGCGAATGTAACCCATAACCGCAATAATTGCAATAATAGGTAAATAAATGATTGAATGTAGCATATTAGTGTTTATTTTAACTCGTAGGACTCGTAGCCCGTAGGTATTACATTGACGTCACATAAGACATTGTGATGCTATCATACTACTCATTAAAAATATTGATATTATCCTACTTCCTAATTAATTTTCCAGAACATTCATAAATAAAAACATCAACGATAATATTCAACCCAACGAATATATATGTAGGTACTTTCCTAATAATTATTATTATCTAGGTAATATTTAGAATACAGCTCGTTTATCTACTAAACGATTTAATCAAGTTTTAATTATCCATCTGAATATAATGTAATCAAATATCCTGAAGTATAATTAGAAAGTATTATTAGTGTTTGTACATTACTGATCTGAAATCTATAAATGTGCACATTTGTAAATCTATTACATTTAAATTCATTACGGACAGTAATAATTGGTAATATTTTTTAAGTCGTAAAAAGTATTATACTTTAAATAAAATATTATGTAAGGTTCGTAGTTTATTAGCTTAAAATTAACAAACCATCAACATTCAATACTCCGTGTAGGTACCTTATCAGATAATTGGTAAACCAAATTTCTGACAGTGTTTTCGAACTTCAAAGCTAAAGTGCTTTATATAGTTTAGCTTTTTATAATTAACATTAAACGTAATTAAGACGTTAAATATTAAAAATCGATGCGAATAAAACATTTTTATTGGGTATACCTTATAACAACGTTGTTATTTCATTCGAGATAACGTGATGTGTCAGTTGTGAAGCGTATTTCTATATTACATACCTAAACTTACAAACATGTTAAATGTTGATTAATGTTAATTAATTATATAAATAAGAGAATAACCTCATGTGCTGCTGCTGTAAGTAAGTGAACAAGAGTATTGATAAATATTATTCTCATAATCTCATTGAATCTAGTTCCTACAGATAGTTAGGTAGACAAAATTTCAGTGTACTATACAGATGGACTAGTGATACTGTGTAATTGTTTCATTTTTTGATGATAATTAAACATTATTTTTAAACATGATTCAAAACTAAGCATTTTAAGAACTAGTAATTATTTTCAAAGGTTTTAGGTAGGTACATAAATATGAAAACATAAAAATAATTATAGCTTCGGATAAAATTATTAGTATTTTTACAATAATGTTGAAACAATCTTAAGTAATCATTATAATTGAATACAAAATGCTCACTCTTTTTATTATAGTAAAGTCAGTGAAAATTAACAATAGATTTGGAAAAAATGCTTTCTAGTAAATATCAAATAATAATTTCAACATGAATCATGATGTATGGTATAGTATACCTAGTATTCATCTAACAATATATTTCACTTATAAAGATAAAATATATACACGTTTAACTTAATATATAACATATTACAATAACTTATGATTTATTTATAATTTTAAAATTCATCTTATTACCCAGAATTATTACCCAAGTAGAAATATTATTAGTACAAAACATTAAACCATCGCATAATATTAAAAATATTATGTTTTATAGAACGTTGCAGTTTGATGTGATTACATTGTGTTTACTGAGGATTTTCTATTGTAGTTACGTTGACGTTTACCCTATAGTGTAGTTAATGTACAGTGCACACAAATGATTTTTTTCAACTAAATAATGTAAGACAACTGACAAGACAACGTCACATAGGTACAATATTGTCGTGATCAGTAATTTTATGTTGATTATGTATTCGGTAATGTTTTTTATATCTTAAATATTATTATAAATGTAGACTTAGGCGGTAGGTTGTTTAAATGAATCTACGCTTCTCGTAACATAATGTACAATGTTAAGAGATAGCTGCATTGTCGCCGTGCAATCCTGTTGGAACGCGATTACTTGTACATAAACATTATTTCGTCTATAAAGTTCATTGCAAGTACGACGACGTGATCGTGCATTTGAAATAAGCAGTCGTTATTCTGATATATCAAAACTATGCCCCTCGTATTCCACCTAAATACATAATGCGACGTAAACGTGAATTAATTAAAACCATCAAATTAAAATACGGAGAGTCGTAACGGTGATATCGCTAATAATTTTATAAAACTATGCGGTAGGTAATACATACGATTAAAATGTTCAGTTTCCGCGAGCACCGATGACAGTATTACTTATTAAAACTATTATGCCGGCAAAATTATAACTGACTGTTCGCGGTGGTGTAAGCAAGCACGTTATTTTCGTACAATATGTAGGTAGGTATTGTTAGTTTAAATAGGTAGGTAGCTGTAAAGAAACAGTTGACTTACGCATCTAAATATTTTTCGTACTTGACTTTGAAATTAATATAGGTACCGAACGGCAGCAGAAATAATTATCACTGTTATTCCGTCGTGTTTTTATGGTTACAAGTTATTATATTATTACTAACCTGAATTAATATTCATGTAATTGAATATCAAGTAGGTACAAGTAGATCTTAAGATATAATTATGAAAAAATTATATATTTCATTTTATATTTTTATTTACAAATGTTCACTTGAGTACTACATATTATAAACGATGTTCTGCCAATGTTCCAATGTTAAAACAAATATTAATCTTGGAATTAAAACTTTTGGCATTCCTTATTGAGTTAAGTACCAAGGACCACACAACCTCTCTCTCTCTCTCTCTCTCTCTTGGTATTACCTTTTGTTTCGTGCAAACTCCAACTCGGTACCAAACAAGTACTTAAACAAAGCATTTCGATCGATCGTCAGATCCTATTGTGTGCGATATTCTATTTTACTTAACATTGCCGTAACTAAATATTAATGTTCTCGAGCGAAACTGCGCAGTCTAGAAACGAATTAATCGATATTTTTACGTTATTTTTTCTACACAAGAATTATACGATTATACAATGTTACAACATTGAAGAAGCCACCATATAGATACATTTTATGGTAAGTATTTATAATATAACACGTATCACGTGAGGGTTCTATCTAATAGGTAATATGCTTTTTACGAGGCAGTATTTAATTTATGCACGCGTACACTGCTACGTGGTCTATTAGTATTTATAGTCCACCCGAAAGCCCGCGCACATAACGTATTAAATTATTTCACGTCGACGAGGAAAAAAATAAGGAATAAAACAACGGCTACAAAATACCCGTGGGTAGTAGACACCCATATCATATTATTATATTAAACGGAAATTTCGATAGCGTAACAATTTTTTATCGCAGTAAGTCACTCGCGTACATTTTAATAACGATATTATTACGCTGCGTCATATCCAACAAAATACAATAATAATAATA